GACTTACTCTTGGCAGAGGAAGACCAGGTTCACATTTAAACGAATAGAACATATGTAAGTCCATGGGGCCTGATGACTTGTACCCACAAGTGCTGAGGGAGCTGGCTGATATCATTGCGAGGCTTCTCTCAATTATCTTTGAAAGGCCATGGTGACTGAAAAAAGTTCCTGAAGACTGGAAGAGGGCAAATGTCACAACTGACTTCAAACAATTCAGGGAACTACAGGCCTGTCAGTGTGACCTCAGTCCATGGAAAGGTGGTGGAGAAAATCCTCATGGAAACCATTTCCAAACACATGAAGGACAGGAAGTTGATCAAGAGTAGTCAGCATGGATTTATGCAGGGGACATCATGCTTAACCAACCTGATAGCCTTCTACAATGAGTTGACTGGCTTGTTGGATGAGGGGAGAACAGTGGTTGCTATTTACCTTGACTTTAGTACAGCTTTTGACACTGTCTCCCATAACATCCTTGTGGACAAGCTGACTAAGTATGAATTAGATAAGTGAACCCAGCCAGGCCCAGAGGGTTGTGATCAGTGGCACAAAATCCAGTTGGGGTCAAGTCACTAGTGGTGTACCCCAGGGGTCAATACTGGCACCAGTACTGCTTAACATCTTCATTAATGACCAGGATGCTGGGACAGAGTGCACACACAGCAAGTTTGCGGGCAATAGAAAACTGGGAAGAGTGGCTGATACACAGGAGGGTTGTGCTGCCATTCAAAAGGGCCTGGGCACAGTGGAGAACTGGGAGGGGAGGAATCCTGTGAAGTTCAGCAAGGGGAAATGCTAAGTTCTGCATCTGGGGAGGAATAACCCCAGGCATCAGTACACACTGGGGACTGTCTACAGAGCAAGTCTACAGAGAACGACCTTGGGGTCCTGGTGGACAACAAGCTGACCATGAGCCAGCAATGCACCCTCACAGCAAAGAAGACCAGCAGCATTGTGGGCTGCATGAGGGTGAGTGTTGCCAGCAGGTTGAGGGAGATCCCTCTCTGCTCAGCCCTGATGAGACCATGGGTGGAGTGCGGTGTCCAGTTCTGGGCTCTTCAGTATAAGGAAGATATGGTTTTCCATATCTTCCCCCTGAACAGGGCCACAAAGATAATTAAGGGAGTAGAGCATCTTTCATATGAGGAGAGGCTGAGAGAGTTGGGACTTACAGTCTGGGGAAAAGAAAGCTCAGGGGCATCTTATCTATGTGCATAAATACCTTATGGGATGTAACAAAGAAGAAGGAACCAGATTCTTCTCAATAGTGCCCAGTGAGAAGACAAGAGGCAATGGCCACAGATTAAAACCAGGAAATTCAATCTGAACACAAGGAAACACTTTTTTACTGCAAGGATGGTCAAACACTGGCACAGGTTGCCTGGAGAGGTTGTGTAGTCTCCATTGGTGGAGGCAGATATTCAAAACCCAACTGCACGTGGTCCTGTGCAACCTGCACTAGCTTGCACAGGGGGTTGGACCAGATGATCTCAAGCGGTCACTTCTAGCCTGAACAATTCTGTGATTCCATAAGGGTTAGCCTGACTTGAGAGCCAGACACTGGTTACCATGAAAATAGTACAGGGAGGCACAAATGAAGCAGCTTCCAATGCTGCTTGCAGTAGCTGAGCTCTAAAGAGTGTTTCCCCCTGGATGGGTTCCTTTCCTTCTCTTTCACCCTTTTCACCTGCATCCCAAGTATGTCTTATACTGGAAGGTGTGCTCTTTGGCATTGTCTCTCAAGGAAAGCTGAGACTGGGAGTAGCTTGGTACCAAAACCAGCCTGTTTGACCCTTTGCACCTCTCACCAGCTGGTGGACACTGTTCCTCAGAGCCTCAGAGGTATCACTTTGCAGAGCCCTGCAGTGTGGTATGAGTGAGGGGATGCACAAAAATTAGCATGGGAAGACCTTTCATTTGGTTTGGCATGGTACTCTTCCCACCTCTTTGGGCAACTTTTGCTCTTATGTGAAGTGACTCTTCAAACTAGGTATACACAATTTAGGAGTTCCCAGTAATTACTTATTGTTGAATACACACAGCAGAGAGATAGGATTAACATGCTACAAGGCTAAGAATTAACATGGTTACCACCCTGATGAGTCTGCTGGCTCACCACTTGAGTGGAGGAGGGCTGGTCTTTGTTGCTCCCTAGAAGAGGCTTAGCCTTGATGTTGCTAATCATTGTCTTCCAATTCTTAATTTTTTAAAAAATTGATATTTTATACCTCTTCATGTAAGTGTTTGTCCTCCTGAAGCCTTGCTATGCTGACTATTCCATCCTGACAATAACTTTTCTGTTTGTGTTTTTACTTATTTTGCATGGCCTTCACTTGGGTGCTTGTCCACACCTAAGCAACAAACTTCTTAGTAAAGTTGAGTCAATAGCCCACAACTGGGCTGCAGCAGCGTAGGACCTGGATGACAGACAGCTGAACCCTGAGCTGAGGGCTACAGACAAGGGAGGGCACTAATTTTAGAAGCAGCATTTTGTACAGGGAAGAAGATGCATGTTTACTTTGTTGGGTGGAGATGTATTTCCAAATAGAATACCTTTTGTGGAGGTGGAGTGAGTTTTAATTATAGGTGGAATTTTGCTGAGGGTAGATGTTTTCACAGTACCTCCCTCCTGCATTCAAATCTTGTTGCCTTAAGTAATGTTCTCTGACATGTGGTTACTGAGTACCACAATGGCTACAAAACTTTATGCTATTCCTCATGGCCACAGGAAAGCACAACTGCTGCCCTCCCAAGCTGACGGAGGGAACTGGTGTTGCCAGTGCAGCATTGCTTGTTCACTGTTGTACATGGGCAAAACGGATGTTTGGAAGCCGCTCTTCTGGGCTATAGGCTCTAGTCAGACTTTATTTCTAGTGTGTTGTGGCAGGGAAAAAAACCTGCCTCTTGAGTAGGTCCCAGGGGGGCCGATAGTGCCATAAGCAGTGGTCAAAAATGGGAAACTGAATGCTTAAAAAGAAAAGTTCAAATGCCTTGTCTTGGTGAGCAAAAACTTGCTCATTATAGAGTTTAATTTGATTTGGTATGTTTAGTAAATGTCTAGGATAACAGTGGTTGGGGCTCTTTGAAGCCTAGTGGAAATAAGACACTAAATGGGTCAGCTTTGTCAATTGGGATGATGTGGTGGTTGATTTGGAATGGCAAGAATGGAAACGTGCTCCAGCTGTGCACCTTACATGATGGTCTAAGAGAACCAGGTAGGTCAGTGTCTTGAATAACACAAACACAACTCTAAGTTCATTTATTGGATTATATGCAGATCATGGTAAAATTATGAAGTAAAGCAGCAGTCAAAATCGCACTGGTGCTTCTGTCAATACTGTGACTGTCTTTGCTGAAATGCATTTGTAAGTTACATAATTCATCATAAATCATTACAGAAGTCATACATTGATCAATGGTACAGGTAGCAAGGATAGTGCAGATACTAGCCAGGAAACACGTATAATTAGGTTAAATTAAAAAGAGGAAGCAGATTTGAATTTTGGAGGTTTTGGATTGCATATCAATAAGAGGTAGCAAGAAGCATGGTGCTCATAGTTTTCTTAGCATTTTTGCTGATTGGAACTCTCAGCAACCTTAGCCTACAAAGTTTAGAAAAATGAGGCAAAAATGCAAGGTGATTAGAAATCAGCGATTAAATGTTAAGGGCTGGACCGTTTTGCCTTGCTGCCTCATTTTGTCATGAAGCTGCAAGGGCATGAGAGAATGAATGTAATGTGCCGGTATACACGCGGTGAGACAGGGGAAGGTGAGGGGCGTTTTGAGATTATTCTGGGTTTGTATTAAATTTTGTTAATTTCCAGCAGTCTTTAGATTTGAAATGAACATAAGGAAACTGCATTGTAATGCAAATGCAGGTTTCCCAATGAGGAAAAGAGAGCATAATAGATTTTTACAAGTTCTTTTTTTCTTTTTTTTCTTTCAGGGATTTTTTTCCTTCCAGGAAGAATCAAGAGGATGAACTGCATTTCCCTTGAAGTCAGCACTTGGCATGGGGCTAGATGATGGCCTATGTCTAGAGGGCTTTTTTGGCTCCACCTTACTCTCAAACAATAAAGCCAGAAGAGCAGGTTTGATGCAAGGGAGCAAAATTCTGGACTCTTTTTCTGTGGAGGGCTGTCTCATTAAGACAATGGAAGGGAGCAGTAAGGGGATGGTCTTTGAGGTACAGGGTGGTGTCTGGGTGCTGCCTTACTTGGCGGGGGAAGAAAAAGGGCATACACTTTCAGTATATATGGCTACATGACTTAAGGTTGTGCTTTTAACACTGCAGTTCACTTTTTTCCATTGAACAGTGAACCTTGAGTGCTGTCTGGGAGCAGGTAATAACTCATTCTAGGGGACAGCAGCATCTGCCAAAAAAGAGGATGGTCTTGGATATATTGTGTCTGATAAAGAAGTGGAAGGGGTGGTCAACCTTAAATTTCAAAGCATGGTCACCAGGTCCTGGACTTGTTATTGTTGTATTTGCAGTAGCAGCAGCTGCCTCAGTGCCTTTCTCATCAACTGCAACAAAAGACTTGTGAATTATTTTGGAGACCGTTATACCACCATTCTCAGCTATTCCACTGAAATCAGCATTGCTGCTGAAGACCCTGTGCATTCCCATGCTGTTCAGATCACGAGTGAGATCATATTTCTCCTTCACTGTGAACTTAGGTAGGTGCAGATCCACAAGAGTTTTGGTCATCTTCTTGGAATCAGTCCATTCAGACAGCTTCTCATACGTCAGTTCTCTTTCCAGCTATCGTTTAAGAAAGAGAAGGAATTTGATATTTGCAAGGAAAACAAAATTAATTAACTATGAATTAATCAATTTTATGGCAATGTAATGAATTAAACAGTTTTTAAATAGCAAATTTAACATTTAGCTGCAAGTGTGAAATATAAATTGGTTTTACTGATGATCAGAGGCAGGGTGTGCAACAAATGTTTGAGGCTTAATGCTGCAAGGGTTTGAGCACCACCCCTGCCAAATTCATTGCAAAAGAAAGACAGGGCACTCAACACCTGCAGCTGCCATCCCCTGAGGTAGTTCTTTCCTCTCTTTAATTCAGTCTTGATGTGAATGAAATTACTGGGAGATTGCCAGCTGTGCAGCAGGTGGTTTGGTCCAGTTCCATAGAAACAGGTGTTAATATTGCATGTATTTCCTTGGCAATTTCAAAACAAACTGCTTCCAGCAAAAACTTTCACTGCCACTCTGTGTCCTGTGCACTGTGTCACCAGGATTCAGCTCAGATCAAATGGAGGAGAGCAATGAATGGTATTCTTGATATGATAGATGCCAAGAATTTCACAGTCTTGCACTTGTGGTAACTACAGTGGCAGATCTCATTATTGTAGCAAATGCAGACTCACCAAAGTCCTGGTTTTTCAGATAGCAAACAAAAGTGTGTGTGGGCAAACAGAATGAGAACAAGATGGTGAATAAACTTCCACACCATGGAGAAGAGGTGTCTGTTATCTCAGGAGGAGGCTGTGACTACTTGTGCGGTACTGTCCCTCCTGAATGTGCAATGAAGGGAAATTTAACCCTTAAAGATCATGTAGGATTGGGTGTCGGTCATGGGCTGTTGAAGAGCTAAGCATCTGATTATGCACAGTATTGACTGTCTTCAGTTCTTACCAAACTGAGGGCGCTCAGTCTGGAGGAACTTTCTTGGGATTAGATAGGTATTAAAGGAAATAAATTCAGCTAGTGGAGGAGCTCAAACAGCACGTCTTCAGAGGGGGAGATATAATTGCCAGCCTGCCCTTTTTTTTTTTTTTTTTGTAATGACTGGGTGGCGATACAAAATGGATGTACCATACATTTTTACCTGTTCGAGACCTGTGGTGCTGTCTTTGATGTCATCGGGAAGGAAGATGAGCATGCTGAGTTCGTGTTTCACATACGGCAACTCAATCACTTTGAAATTCATTGTTTCCACAATAAGAACTGGAAATGTATGTCTCATGTACATCATCTTCACAGGCTTGGTCTTGTTCTGTAAAGTATTTTTTTATAAGTAAGAAATCATTTCTTTAAAGGAAGGATGACGATGACTTAGTGCAGTGGAGGGAGAGGAAACTTTTGTAAGCAGCTTTTATAACAGTGATTTGTCATTCATTTTCCAAAGCTTTTCTTGACTGGACAATATTGGTTATCGTGGTGTTTGTCCAGAGCATTTTGTTGGGGGCTAAACTGACTGTTTTTTCCCTTCTCCCCAAAACATGCACAGCAGCCCACAGAGGAGGGAGGAAGAGAATTAGAAATGTCTGCAAGGATTAGGGGGATGGAGCAGATATGGGATATGGCCTTACAACACTACAACAGAGAAACAGCTATGGTTTAAGAGGGCGAGTGTTGTGCAGTTTTTCTGTGGTCTCCTCTCTCTGACAATAAAAAGTGACTAGCTGATTGCTTTTTATGTCACAACCCTTAACAGAAGATAACAGTAAGGGGCTCATGATGAGGGGAGCTCCTGGCAAGCAGTCACCTTTGCAGGAGTATGTAACCTCTCTTAACATCTACGTCCCTTCATTCAGGGAAGCAGCTGATGTATATGTGCTAATCAGAAGGCAGAAGCTACAGTTGGTGGAAATTGCACAGAGCTCTTGTCTTTTGATGTGAATTCATTGACATCTGTTCGGGATACATGCCATTAACATTTCTTCTAGTCTTGCCTGACCATGCATCCATTCAGGGTACCCTGTTGCATCTGTATTTGAGCAAGTATGTTTGCACCTAGCTAGGCTGCACAGCACAGAGGCCCAGGCACTGTACTCACACATGACATGGCATGTAGTTCCTGTCCATGAAGCCTGGACTCTCAAAATCATGTTTTTACAGTCTAGCCCTTTTAGCACTGTTTTAGAAAAAGGTCTTAAGTGACTCTAGTGCTTTTGGAAATGGTAGCTGTTATCTGGAGCTCATTACCATTTAAGTGAGCAGCATCTGAATGTCACAGTGAGCTGAGCACTGACACATTTTGCTGTAATCAGCTTTTCACAGAGGGTCGTTACCACAGGGATACCTAAAAGACTTACGAAATGGAAAGATTTCGGCAATAGCTGTTGTCACCAGGCTGTTTACAGTAAGAAGGATACAGGAGGAGCTTACCTTGCTCAGTTGGAAGGGTTGCAGTTCCGTATATTCTGCCAAAAATTTCTCTTTCCATTCTGCCTTGAAGTAAATGGCGTTTACCAGGACCAGGACGGTGTAGTTTACCACATCGCCTGGATTCAGCAAATTCTTGATTTTGCCTTTTGAAATCAGAAGAGTCAGGTTTCATTCCAGTGTGGCACAGTGAGGACATCTTTTGATTGTTTTTACTCTCAGTTCAACTGCTTAGTGAAAAAGTTCATGCCTCAGTGCCCTGCTCCCTAAAATACTCCCCTGACGTAAATCAGTTAGTTTATTTACAGTTTCTAAAGCTGTTTGCTGCCCGGTTCTCCTGGCTAGCTGACAGGGCTTGACTTCTTCCTCCCAAAATGTCACAGCTTCATGGCAAGCAGCTAGAAGCAGAAAGCCATATTGTGCCTCGCCAGCTGGTTATGCCAGGTAAAAGGAGGCTGGCATGTCTGGCCAGTGCAGGATGGTAACGCTAGGTAGGCATCCCCACCTGCCTTGGAGCACACTGGTAGACAGAGCTGTTTCTCCCCTCTGCCTGCTCTGCCTGTGTGCACAGGTGCAGCACCAGGGCAGCAGTTGTGCTTGAGGACCAGCTGATGCAGAACACAGCAGTCAATGGGAGTGTCCCCAAGGAGCTCACTGAGGTCTGGATCAGGTATTTGAAGCTGCTTAAGTGTGCTGCTCTTTCTCTGTCCTCCTGCTGCATCTCTGCTCACTGTCTGCATCAGAAAGCATGACCTGGCTGCTGCAGTAGCATGTGGGAAAGCAAGGGCACCTGCCCAAGGCAAACAGCAGGCTGACTTAATAGGAGAGGAAAGGTGTTGGGGTTGAGCTCAGCTTACCCTCAGTTTGTTTTTCAACCCAAGTGTTGATTTCCTTTCTGCATTGTTCCGGTGCTGCCTTAAAGTTAACCTTCTGAGGCTCTGCTTTGTAGTAGTTCTTACTGAGCTGCAGGTATCTCTGAAAAAAAGCAAAAAAAAAAAAAAAAAAAAAAAAAAAAAGAAAGTAAGTTCTATACTGTACCGGATTTTTCAGTCCCAAAGGGAATTTGTTAGCTCTTGGACTTTCTGATAGTTTCTTGGGCCTCGAGGACTGCAGGATCTTGCTTATTACTCTCTGTTGGACTGTGAGTTAACAGTTGAGAAATAACCAAGGGACAGAAAATTCCCTTCTTTTGTTCCCACTTTTATTTGGAGAAGCGAGGAAGGCCACACACATCCCATGGATGTGCTTATTGTAATGTCTAATTTACAGTTGTGTATATTGGGGGCTCCAATAATAAAGCCATATCACATGAAAAGGAATCCCTACACTACACTCAAAGGGCAATGCATCCTTAAATACCGTGAGCAGACTGACTGGTATTTTGCAGTTAAGTTTATCACTGGAATCCAGGGCTCTTCATTTGCAGTATTCAGGGTCAGCTTCAAACCTGTTCTATTAATGACAAGTAACTAAAATGAGAAATATTTTTTTGCACCTTCTCTTACTCCTCCCTAAGATTTGACTTACTGGCAATAAAGTGAAGGTGTTTTCCACGTAAATGCGGTTGGCACTTCTCAGCGAGTAGGAGTTCTTAGGTTTGTTGATGGCAGTCAGGAGCTCTTTGAAGCCAGAATGGAGATCTTCAGCTTGCTCATGCTCAGGATCCTTGGAAAGAGAAACCATACATTCAGAAATTGCATTCTTGCATTAAGTTTTCAAAACATGCTAAGTGATGTATGTGGAAGACAGATTTGTGTTCCTCTCTCTTACTTTTTATTTTTCCAAGTTTACCATCACTGCAATTTGCAGGGCTCTGTTTATATTATGACTGGATTAACTGATTTGCCATATAGCAAACCTTCCAGACTATCCCAGTGGCTTGTCCTTCCATGCTTCTCAGAGTCTGAGTGAATGAAAGGAACTGAACTTGAACCTGTAGTGAAGTATGTTGGGGTTTATACTTTAAAGAGAGGTGCAGGCAAGAAATATGGGACTCCTAAAGCTGTATCTGGACATTTTGATTCTGGAGATTCTTTGTCTTGGGATTTCAGTTCTAATAGATACCATTTTTCTTCTTTTTGGTCTCCCCCGAGAAGGTCTGGCCACAGAAGAAGAGGGTCCAGCTCCTGCTGCTTGAGTGAAATGAAGAACCTGCAAGCAGATTTTCCAAAGGTAAAAAAAGCATGAAGGAACTGGTGTCACTTAAAGCCAAATGGGGATCAAATGGTTGTCTTGTTTTGCTCTGTATAATAACTCACTGTGCTATCTGCCACTTAGGTGATTAATTAAAGGGATGCTGAAGCTGTAGTATACATAAATCCCACAGAGTAACAATGAGCAGTACTGTCCACCTCCCAGAGCATTGACACAGTGCTCCTGTCTGCATGCTGCAAGGCTGAACTCCCTTCCACAGCTGTTGCTCTCAGCAATAGTAATGTGTTTGTGCAAACCCAAATGGTTCTCCCCACGATAACGGTACCAAGGCATCTAAACAGGAGTGTGGTGACACAGAGTGCTGGGCAGTGCTAAGCATCACAGCTCCCTTTGAGCCAGCAATGTGCCCATGTGGCATTAGGAAGGATTGGGTTGGGGGTTGTGGAGATACTAAAGCCCTTCCCATTTTCCTGCTGGATTGTCAGGCAGTTGTTTAGGACAGCATAAATCAAGATAGAAAGATGCATCCTGGCCAGGGGAGAGAGGTGGGGTGCTGGGATCTGCAAGCCTCCTGCCAGTTAATTAGGAGCTACTGGCATCAGCTGTTTGCTTCTCAAAGGGAATATCCCATCTGTGACAGAATCATAGCATCACAGGATAAATTAGAAGGTGTAGAATAATTTAGAAGTCAGGTTCAGAGAACCTCTGTGCTCAGCGAGTGATACCCACAGGACACTTTCTCTTAGTGGAGAAGTGGGGGACCTGCTATGAAATGAATAAAATTTATCATTCACTTGTTACATTCTCTGGTCTGCCTTGGTTCCTTGTCATTGTGGTGGCAAGTTTTTCTATCTAGCACTAAATTTTGCAGCCAGTACACGAGACCGGTATTGTATGGGGTGTATGCTTCATACAGCAACCTACCTCTGCTATCTCTGTTGCTGTATTGCCTTTTGCACCCAGGCACAGCAGAGCCAGAGCAGATGATATGCTCCAAGGGGAAAAGAAAATGTTTTTGCCTTTGTTTTTCTCATTCAGCGTGTTGAAAAGATCAACTGTAAACTTGCCAATTGATGTTGAGACCAGTTCCATTGCTACAACCTGGAAAGAGGCAACAGGCAGAATTATGCTATTTGAATGTTTAAAATTATGTACACAGTGCATATTAGTGAGAGATGTTACATGTGCAACACAATGCATTGGCACCCACTAAAACTAATAGCCTAGTTCTGTGTTTTATCTTCCACACAGATACTGTTTGCCACCTCTCGGAGCAGCAATTTCTTTTATATTTTTTTTGGATCCAGATAATATTTTCCTATAATTGTACATATGTCCTCTTTTATGCAGCTGCAGTTTTATTTGTGTTTCTTTCTAGCTTTGGTTTTCAAAAATGTGCAGATTTCTAAACTGTGCATTTTTCTTCCTTTTCGTCCTTAACTAATGATTTATCAAAGTAATGTTCCTAGAGGAATTTAAATGCAGTTTTAGTACATAGGTTCACAACATGCCTGAGTGTCCCACTACTTCATTTTGGATCTGCATATAATTGAGAGCTGATACTGAGAAAGAATTTAGGCATAATTCTTAAACTTGTGTGCTTTTCCTGGCCAGCCACCTAGTCTGAGTAGTATCATGAATAACAAAGCTGTTACTTGCTTTTAGATTGATGGAGTTTTATTCATGATGTGTACCTACCACCCCTTCTGTATGTTCCAGCAATTTTATTTTCCCCAGAAACCGACAGATTTCTTGAGGTTATGAATATTCCAGACTTTAAGATATCTGCCCAGTAGTACCTGCCTCATGTTGTTTTCCAGTCAAAAGACAAGAAATGTTATTGTTGTTGTTGCTATTATTATTATTAAGATTTATATCTATGGAATGGAGCTACAGAAATTGCGGGGAAATCTCTGAAGTCTGCAGGTACTTACCAAGTGCTTGGTTGCCAAACGACTACAGTTCTTCTGGCAGTCACTGTGCTGTCAGTACCAAATCTGTACCACAGCGTGATTTTATTTCCTTGGAGAACCCAACCAAGAGAGCATCTGGATGGAAATTTCTCTATTTTCCACTTATGAATACTCCTCTGAGTCCCTGGCCTGATAATGTGCAGCACTGTGCCTTTGCAGAACAAAAATGGCCTTTTCTTCACCTGAAGAATGGGACTCCTTTATCAAACTGAAGACTTTGATTAATAAGACAGTTATTGCCCTAAGAAAACTTTCCTTCTTGTGATCAATTCTGCCCCGAATTATCAGTTTCTCTTAGCATCACAGATTTATTTTCTCTAAGGGTTGACATCTAGAAAAACATGAGGCAAGAATAATGCAGTGTAACACTGGTATATTATAATTTACCTATACAGTCATGCAAGCCACAGGTCACTTTTTAAAAACATCAGAAAAGTTACTTAAATTGGTTTAAATATTTACCTCTGATCCTGTGAGAGAGAAGATGTAGGTCTTGTCCTCGATCAGGTTCTGTGTTTGTGTGTTAAGCAATGAATAAATTTAGAAATATAGTACTGCTTGCACCTCCCTTCTCCCCTACACCCGGGTTGTTTCCGCCTACCCTAAGCTCCTTTCTACCAAATCCCGAAAAGATCTTACGTAATTTTGTCCTCCTTGTTGACATTGTCACTTTTCAGTTTTAGACATTTCAAAAGGACAATAGAATTAAAATCTCAGCTCTGTTGTTAACACCACAATAGTCTACTGACAGGATGGCAGAACAGTTCACACATTCCAGTGGCCTTCTGGTGTTGTGGAGACAACTGGTCTGTTGTTTAAAATAAATGACTAGTACAAAGGTTACACAACTATAATGCTTGGTTTTGGTTTCTGGATATAAGATGATATTGTAGGCCTGATTCTCCTGTCTGGCTCTGTGCAGCTGTGACTCCTGGGTTTCAGATGCAGTATGTCAGCATAAGACATCAAGCTTAGTGATTGAATTAGACACTGGGAGTCCATCTTCAGACTGAAGATCATTAGGAGCATAGACAGCAAAGCCATGAAGGACCACTTAGGGTAAGGGTAAGGCATGGACCCCCCACTGGTTGTGTTGGTGAAGAAATCTCATTGCTCTCATGATCTCATGGCTGGGAATCATTTTAGAGAAACACCGCAAAACACTGAGTTAGTGCACAGTACTTGCATGTAGTGAAGGAGGGCAAGGACTGAAACAACCCCACTAGGAGGGCTCAAGCAAGGGTGGAGTGAAAAAATACAACGGCACAGTAGTTGTCACTCTGCAGTCCCAGAAGAGAGCTGGGCTGCTGTTGGGTGGTGAAAGGAGGAGAAGGTGGTGGCAACAACCGTAAGACCCTGGGAGACATGGGAAGAGGAATGGAGGAAAGGAAGGAAACTGTACTGTGTGCTAAGCATGTTGCTGCAAGCCTGATTACAGGAACAGAGTGGGTCAAGTCTTCCAAAAAGTGGCAGAAATCAACGTTGTGCAAGGCAATGAAGAAATGCGAGAAATTAAACAAGTGTTGGTTTTAGTACAATGAGTAAGTCCTCAAGAAATCAGGATAGCAGAAAGCTCAGCTGAATGGTGCCAAAGTAGTATGCTGAGAGTGAGCAAGCTAGCTCCCTTTGCTAGTCAAGATGCAAGGATGCCAGGCAGGATGAGAAAAGGAGGTGGCAAGGCAGAATGGCTTGCCTCAAACTGGTGAAATAAGTGACAAAGCAGAATAAGAGTAAAGCAGTGCAGTGCTGGGCTGCCAACATTGTTGAATGCATGAAAGGGTACAAAGGAGAAGGTTTCAAGGCACATGTTTTATTTTCCTCCAGTTCTATATTGTTGTTCAATATTTTCCAATTGCTGTGGGACAGAGATTAGAAAGTACATGTGTTAGCCCCTTTGTATGCACGAAAGAAAGTACCAGTATCAGGAGCACAGAGGATTTTGCAGGTTTATTCCATTACCAGCTGTGCCAGGCTGCAAAGCTGATATAAAACTGACAAGAATATGGGTGAGGTAGCCCTCCTGGGATGATGAGCTTAGCGAGCTGAAATGGAGATGCAGCAGCGTTCTGCAGGAAGGAGTTTTTCCCATTTCTTTTCTTCTTGTGTACCAAAGCAAGTGTGTTGGGAATTGCTGTTTTAGATCAACTTAATCTGTTCTGCATTGTGGCAGTTCTGGTTCAGAAAGCGCTGAAAAGATGCATCAGTGTTGTTCTGTGCGCAGTTTGGTACTTACAGTGTATGCTAACCATTTTTGGGTAGGAAAATGAGCCAGAGGCTTGAATTCCAGGTTATTTTTAATAAGTGCTCTCTTCTAACATCAAGACATTTGTCAACAGTACAGGAAAATTAAGTAGTGCACAGACTATTGGGATGCTCTTTGTGGTATGTATTTTGTTCATTATTGTTGTTGCGAGGGCCTGTTTAGTAATGGTTGAGTTTCTAGGGGGAAGAGAACCTTCCCAAGAAGAGGATACTCTTGGTCTTGTTGTGCCTGATAAAGAAGACGAAAGGGTGATCTGCTACAAAAATAATGGTAGCACCAAGACTTCGTGATGCCAGTGCTGCTGAACTGGCAGCTGCTGCCTCTGTGCCTTCTTCATTGACTTCCAGATAACACTTGTGAAAAACTTGCGACAAAACCAGCTCGCTGTTCTCCGACATTCCTGTGAAATCAGCTTGACCTTCACTGAAGGCATCTTGTATCCCCATCCTGCTCAAAGTAGATTTGAGGTCATATTTCTCTTCTAACGTGAACCTGGGCAGATAAACCTCCATTTTAATTTTCTCCATTAATTCTGGGCTGGTCCATGCAGACAAGTTTTCAAAAGTCAATTCCCTTTCCAGCTGCAGTTAGCAAAAAGAGAATCAGAAAATTACAGAGTGTTTAAAAACCTGTGCCCTAAGGGCTATTTCTTCTCTTTTCTTAAACAGAGAACTTTTCAAGCTGTTACAAGAGTACAAAACAAAAGCAGTAGTGAAAGACCAATTTGGAGGTCTTTTTGACTAAAGGAGTATGTTGCTGTACAGTAGGTCAATGCAGTATTTGAACTGTTCTCAGTAATTGTCAGGGAATATAGCAGGGTTAAATAGTTGAAGAACAAAAACATCAGTGCCCAGTAATGATAGTCTGGTTGATTTGCTGTTCACTTTTCTGTCTTCCCTACATTTTATAATTTACTGAAAAGAGATTTTTCCTACAGAACACCCACTAACATAAATGAGAATTTCATAAGAGTTTATTTTCCAAAGGCAGGATCCATCTCTTTACAGAAGGTGGCAGTGTCCATATGTATTACCTCTGGACTTCCTGGAAAGTAATGGAGGCCGTCCAATTTGTGGTTTTTTTCTTTTCTGAAATAAATTGGTATAGTGAATCTCAGCAGGGCTAGCTTTCTCTCCTCATTTTTGTTCAGCTGGAGGAAGAGCCAGTCTTGTCAGGTTTGGGTTACCTATTTCCAGGACTGATCAACGTTAGGAACCACAAAATTGTCAGCTGCCAAGAGTAAGAAACCTAGTCTGAGCTCCAAGAGGTTCGAGTTCACAGTGCTAGACCAAGTTTGGGGTTTGCTTTTCCTTGAGTCTGATCAGTACCCTCCATCTTAGAAACATGACTGCAACCTGGTGTTTTACCTTGCACATGCATAAAATAAGTAAATAATGACACTCTTGCTTTTTCATGTGATTTATGTTCTCAGTTGCTTTACCTTTGGTAGGCCGGTGATGTCACTTGGTAGCAGGATAAACATGCTGAAGTCATTATTGACATATGGAAGCTCAAGAACATCAGTCTGGACTGATTCTACGTAGGTCCAGTTAAATTTATCACTCAGGTACATCATTGGCACTGGTTTAGTTGTATGCTGCAACAAATCAAATTAGATGTTTGCTATTTGTGCTCTGACTGAACAGTAAAGAACTGAGTTAAAGTAGCACAGTGGAAGTTTATTGTATTTACTGTACAAGCTGCCCAGTGTGTCTGAGACATCCTTATGTCCTAAGTGGTAGGACACAGGATCTACAGAGGATCTCTGGTCTTCTGGAAAGGCACTTGGATGCTAGGAAAGCTATCTAAGCTGTCTCAGATGACATCTATTACAGGAAGGTGTATTCCACTCTGATTTGTCGTATGGTTAAAAATGAAAATGTAAAGAACTAACCCATACAGTTTTGTTCACCTCTTTGTTTTCCCTGCCTTCAGAGAATGGAAGTTTCTTTCACGTCAGCTTCTGACAATTGTACTTGTGGCTCAGGTGCTAGTATGTGTGTGCAGTCTTTGTGCTGAAGATGTGGTGAAGAAAATATACTGTGTGCATTAAATGAAATAACTTTCATGCCACATTTCATGTGGATTTAAAGACTGACAGGAATTTCTCTCTCTCATCTTTTTAATTGCTTTTTCCACCTACAGTGTAGAATATAGGTCAGTATATTCCCATACCGTGTTTATTCTGAAAGGCCTTTGCCTGGTAGCGTCAGCTTCGAACTTCATTGCCCAGTTTCCTTTAAAGTAGAGCACATTTATCAGGACTAGCCTGGTGAGCGAATCTACGGATCCAGGAGGCAGCAGATTTTGGATTTTACCTAGAGAACACAGAAGGACATTGGCACATTTGTGCAGTTTTACTGTTTCAGAGTAAGTTTTGGCACAATTTCTGCAGATATAAGCCAGGGAAATAGTAAGTGCTGATACAGCATGCTTCTAACTTGAGATTATTCACAAATAAGTGATTACTGGAGTAACCTTGATTTACAAAAAAGAGTAAGCCACATTCCTCACATGTTCAGGTGGAGGACACTAAGTTTAGTAAGGGCTTGTCAGTGGATGACTGCTTTAGGAAAACTGATCTAATTTACCTTTCTGAGGAGAATTGTTTACCTGCCTTGGGCCCCTTGGGTACAAAGACTTTGTTCAATACCAAAATGGCTTCTTTTTGATTTGGGAGAGAGAGAGGCAGGAGCTTACCTTCAGTCTGGTGTTTGACCCTGGAATTGATCTCTTTTCTGCTTTCATCTGCTGCTCCCACAAAGTCAACTGATTCTGGCTCTGCATTGTAGTATTTCTTGGCTAACTGTAAGTATTCCTGTAGTGCAAGAGAGATAGCTGTCTTATATCTGTTGCCTGCCAATATGAATGCTAATAAATAACTACAGCCAAATAGAGGCAAAACATGATAAAAATTACATAGACTATAAGCACAGCATTTTGTCAAAGGAACAAAGTATTTTTTAGTGGAAATACTCAATTTAAATGTTTGCACCTAACCACATCTGCAAATCACCCGGAAATTAGATGCACATCCCATAAAACTAAAATTTTAGTGTCCAAAGTCTCAGGAAGAGTCTCACAGAAAATATTTATGTTAAGGATAACAACATGATTTGCAGATGTAATGAAAATATTTAAAAGTATATAGTTTATGGTATGTTGTCATAGATTGATCATAAAGGTTAAATGGCACTACATAATCTGAATAAATGGCCTACCTACCTTACTGAAAGGCAATGTTTTTTCTCCATATAACTGGTTGACACTTGTAAGCAGGTAATTTTTAGTGGGTTGGTTGATTTCAAAGTTGAGTGCTTTAAACCCAGTATGTATATTACCCGGTTTGCCAATTTCTGTCTTGGAGAAAAGGAAGAAAAAAGTTACTCATCTGTTGTGTAAACTAGTTCAAAATTGCTAATTTCTTGTTCATGCAGCTCCATGTAATATATTTCTATTGAGGCGATCTATTACCTTGCAACACAAGAGGTATTCTAAACCAGACAGCTATTAAAAGAATCATTTGAAAGTATTAAAAATTGCACACTGTAAGTGGCTCAGAATGCAGGTGGTAAGAGCCTGAACTATGTAAAATATCTAAGGGTTTCTAAGTGAAGACTGTGAAACTAAGTATATCCAGAGAGTGAGAGACAGAATGTAATTGTTAAACAATGCATGAAGATTTGGCTGTGTGACTCCTTTCATTTATGAAAGTTGAGTGTGTTACATGGAAAGCTTGCCCCTAGATTTCTTAATCTTGCTCTTAATGTTAATATTTTGTAAATTTTTTTGCTGCAGTAATTGCAGTAAATTAATTATCTTGAAGTAACAGGATTAAATGAATGTGGGGTCAAACTCTCAAATGAGCTCAAGGAACTTAAGCTGTGAATTAGTAAACTAAAAATTGGTGCTGTATTCATCTTGTCATTACATCAGAGACAGCCGCATGAACAGACACTTAAATTTCTAAACTGTTAGAAGGGTCCATTTGCCCTACCCACAGTGCTCTGTAATTCTTACAATTCAGACAAGCATTACTCAATTACAATCCGTCTCCTGTTCATGCAGTGCAAATGAGTTGTTGACACAGCCCCTAAAATAAATCTTTCTGCCATGGGATTTGGCTGTGGAATGCAGATCTAAGTTCCCATTCATCAGAACTCGTGGCCACTGGGGCTTTGTGGGCAGCATGCAGGGAAATGGCTCACTCCCACAAAGAATAAGGATGACGGGAAAGAGGAGGGAGAAGAGCTTGACGCCACCATGGTTGAATTGTCAATGAGGAAAACCTGCCTTTACTGACTCAGAGCGATTATGTTTTCTTTTCTGTATTTTTCTGCTATCTTAAATTATGTATGCTCTGGTACAAGATGCCCACCAGTATGTCAAAGAAATATCTCAGGAATATGATGATTTCCACTTCTCTAATATTTATTGCAAGCAACTGGTCTACCTTGGGAAATTCCAATGTGTCAATTTATTTGTTAACTAGTCAACTGAAATGGAGACTAATTTCTGAAGAAGGCTACCTACCAAGCATAGGTAGCCTGGAAAAGTTAATACTCGGGGTTTTGTTGTCTTAATGCTGCAATCAAATGTGTGGGACAACAGCTCTGTTCTTGTGATTAGCTCTCTGAGGTGGGGACCATGCCTGTTCAAATAGCATGTTTTTGCTAAATAGCTAGCTATTGAACAGTAATAATTTGAGAAAGAAATCTATCCTCAAAGCTAAAGGAAAAAGATCAAGAGACAGAGAATGGTAACATTACATTTTAAATTTCGCAAATTTGAGGTTAGTTTTTGCAATTCTGCCTAAAAAGGGGAAGCCTGTAATAAGTATTACATTAGATGAAGGTGTCACAGATGCTGTACCAATTAATTGTGTACACTACATCTGAGGAAGGCAAACATAAGCAAAAGCAAATGTGGAAGGAAAATACAAGCAAGAGAAGATCTGACCGTGCCCATAGCTTGATCACTGGACTTGGTGAGATACCTTCTGGGAACAGGCATATTGATTCGATAGATGCTCTTCCATCCTGGAATAGACTTGCATTTTTATGGTCGTGATGACATTTATGGCTCCTTCAGCTTTGTTAAAATGAAGTACCTATAGTGGAAAAAGCAATAATAAATACAAAGATAGAAAATTTGCGGTTTCCGTAAAATCTTTCAGTGATGTCTTGGGACTGGTGATGAAGAGAGTCGAACTCAGATTTTATTCTTTTGTCCAGTCCTGACTGAATATGAAATCTTTGGTTAGGCCTTGAGACCCTTGAGACAAAATGGCATGAGCGCAGTAAGCTGAGGGTTGCAGGGCAAAACTCTCCTGTCACTAGCTTTTCTAGAGGAATCTGCCTGCTTTGAGTTATACTTTGGGCTGACCAGTTAATACCTGGGAAGAACCAGTTATGTGCAGATGGAGACCATCAAAGCAGAAGTCTAAATGGAGCACTGCTATGTGTCAGAAAGCATGAAAACGATGAGGGAAGTTTCATACCTTAGATCCCTTGCTCTGGGCACGTGCATCTTAGCCAGGTTACAAAGGGTTGCATCCAACCTTGGAACATTTTTCAGAAGAGCTATGCCTTTTTTTTTGTTGTTGTTTTCCCTTCTTCCTAGCAGAAGATTACTCCTTTCTTTGTTACCCTGCTGGCCCCCTTTCATCATGTAAATCAGGAGTTAGATCACTGCCTTAGCAGGTGAGACAGCTGCTTCTGCCTTAGCAGATGAAAAGTCACAAGCCGCAACTCCTACTATAGGACCTAGGTAACTGCACTGGGGCTGTTTTCACTGCTGCCTGCTGAAGCTATGAACTTTGCACAAATATGGCTTAGGGATTTCAGTAAGTGATTTTGTCTGTAAAATACGTACCCCAAAGAAAGGGTTGTAGTCTCACCGTGTTTCTTCTCTGATCTTGTGGATCTGGATTTATGTTTAGCAAAGTGCAAAACTTATAATAGTTATAGGGGAGAGTCTTTTTGTGTGGGGTCATTTCCAAAGAGATGAGATGTGAGATGGGAATTGTCTCTGGCAGAGTAGGAGAATCTGGGTCTCCCACTCCCTGGTGAGTGCTTGAGTTACTGAGCTTTGGGATAAAGATCCCTTATTTCTGCTGCAAAAATTTAAAAGGAGGCAGTGTCACCAGTGCCACTTCTCTCATTTGTTGGGGGCCTGTTTCCAGAGACTAGAGTGGACTATTTCTTTGACCTGCCCAAGTGGAGAACTGGTCTATTCATTGCAGTGCACATCAGGAGTGAGACAGGAGCTGGCATATACGTGTGTAGAGTTTTGATTAGAGTAATTTTTCTGCTTATGACTTTCCTCTGTTCCATCATAGTAAATTTCTGGCATAGAGGATGTTGTTCCAAGAGATCATAGAATCATAGAATCATAGAATCGTCTAGGTTGGA